AGGTGATAATTGTCAACATGGTGGAGGAGGGGACCAGCAGTAAGCGTAATGGCTATGTTGTTGGACTCCCATGTAGTCCACCACAGTTTGAGTCCTGGACCGGACGGCTTAAACTTACGCCAGGTGCATGTGCGTGCTTGCCCAAGATCCCGAGAGGAGAATGGAGGAGAAGGGATTGTGGCATGGTTATTCCCCCTGGGCAGTGACTTCTTGCTTTCTGTCTCTCTGTCTCTCTCTGTCTTTCTGGCGAGCACACGTGCCCTAGAGCAAAAATCTCTGCAAAAAAAAAAAAAAAAAAAAATTGGGGGAGGAGGAAAAAGCCTAAGGGAATTTCTGAAATCTTCAAGGCTTCACCTTTCATCATAAGCCCAGAGGCTTAGGAGGGCAAAATGGTTTCAGGGAACTGGTACAGGGCAGACTCATTGCCCTGAAACTTTCAGAAATCTGCTCCCTGCATCCCAGTAAATCATTCCTTGATCCCAGGTAGACCTCGACTTGACTTTAAGACTGCCATTCCACCATCTGCTTTAGAATATTTAAGCAGAACATGCCAGCTGCATGCATGTGGTGATAATTTTTCAGGTTTGTAGAATTCAAGAGCTGTGGAGGTGTGGGGGACTTAATCTAGAATTCAACAAATGTCTCAGATAACCTAGTGAGTGATGCAGGGGCTTGTCATTGAGCTCCTTGGAATGAAACATAAATATGCAACACATTCTGTTCTCAAAGACTATAGGGTCTATTGAGCCCCATTAACAACTTTCCACGTGGTATTAGAGGGACCACAGAGAGAGAGAATCAGGGTGAATGCAAAGTGAAGGAATGGGAAAAGATTCAAGGATAATTCCAATAGAGGGCATGTAAAAGAAAACTACAGGAAAACAGATCATCTCAAACCTTAAACATGCTTCAACGTTGATTGATATGGTTATAAAGTTCGACTTTATGCTTGTAGAGTTGAAAATGATGAAAACAATAAACTTAAGGATGGTCAATCAAGTGTGTTAAATGAAAATTTAGCACAGGCTTGACCTAAATATTCATCAGTTTGAGAGCCACTAGCTGGTGTAGTGGTTACATCTCTGGACTTTCATTTGGTCGACTGCGGTTCAAATCTCAGATATGGTGGCTGGAAAATCACACCAGGCTGATGTGTGTGCATGCCCAAGGTCATGGGAGAAGAAGAGATTCTGACATGGTACCCTGCCCCTGTGGGGAAGGATTTATCACTTTTCCTCTCACTGTCTCAGTCCTCTCTCTGTCCAGTGAGCACACATGCCCTAAGGCAAAAACCTCTTTAAAAAAAGTCACCAGCTCATATTCATTGAATAAGTCATTTATTCAATACTTTTTTTTTCAATAATTAGAGCACATGTGTGAGAAAGAGAAATTATTCTAATAGGATACTATCGTGCTTTGATTCCCCTTCAGTATCTAGGACATCAGTAACCAAATGCAGCATGTTTTTAAGCTAACACATCACAGTCAGTTATATGGCTTTCAGTCAAGCAGGGCACTTGTGTTAGCACTGCAGCACAGTGGTTGGTTCTAGGCAATAAATATTTATTTAGCTAGAGAGGCATTCTATGGTTTGCCAAGAGTGAAAAGACTGCCCTTTTGGAGTTAGATTAAAATTTGATTCTTTTGGGGCCAGCAGGTGGCATGGTGGTTAAGGCACTGGACTCTAACTTAGACCACCACTATTGAAAGAATGCCCTTTTGGAGTTAGATGAACATTTGATTCTTTTGGGGCCAGGGTGTGTGTAGCAGTTAAGGCGCTGGACTCCCACATGGTCAACTGCAGTTTGAATCCTGATCCCATGTCTTGAAACTCATGTCAGGTACACATCCATTCATGTTTGAAATCCCAGAAGGAAAATGGAGGAGAAGAGATTGAAGCATGTCCATCTCTCCAGGGATTGATTTCTCACTTTCTCTCTCACTGTCTCTCTCTGTCTCTCCAGGAAGCTCACATGCCCTATGGCAAAACCCATAAAAAAACTAATTCTTTTAATTTTGTTGAGACTAAAACTGTATGAAAGAGACAAAAGAAACTTGTCAAAAAGTAACTTTCTTTAAGTCCCTCTCAAATGCACTAATCAAAGAAATTTATACCTTCTGGCGCCTTCTCACCAGAGGTAGCTGTGGAGATGCAGAGCAGCCCTCCTTGGTGGCTGATGAGAGCTGAACAGTCTCAGTATGGAGGAGCACAGCCTGGAGCTGGCTTCCATGGCAAAGCACGGGGACCCTGGCTATGCAGCACAACAGGAAGCAAAGCACAGGGAAGCAGAAATGAGAAACAGAATCTTAGTCCAAGTTCTGGACCAGTCAGTCAGGCCAGGTTAAGTAACTTAGCACTTGTAAAGCCTGGAAAAATGAAAACAGTAGAGAATTACCTTCTACAGATGGCAAGATATGGCAACTAACTAGGAACATATCAGAACAAGGTTTAATAGAAATCCTTGAAAAAGTGAGCCAACAAACAGAGAAGAAAACAACAGTTAAATTCAACAGAAGAAAAGTAATGGACTCTGATGGTGATGATGATGATGACTGAACTAAAAATGTTAGAGACCGGAACTTAATGAACTTCTAGGACACAAGTTAAGATTTCATTTTTTAAAAAAGAATTATTTTTGTATTTTATTTATTCATTCAGTGCCCTCTTGAGTACGACCTAGGAGCTCTTCTCATATCAATGCTGTCTGATGTAGTAAAAAAAAAAATGATGGAGGTGGCGCTGTTGCTAACAGGGGACAGTGCAGCTGGAACCAAATAAAGGTGACAAGGGAACACATGAAAATCACTCCAAATTCAGCGCAACAGAAACCACAGCATGCTAAAGGGCAGGCTGCGGAGACTAAAGACCAGCACTATAAGCAGGAAGATCACATGCAGCCTGATTAGTCACATTTGCTGAGAGTCACACAAGAATATTGACTGGAGGGCCAGGCTGGGTCCAGAGAGAATGACAAATTAAAGAATAGGCCACGTGGCTGTCATGAAATAAAATGCCTGACACAAATGATAGTCACCATTCTGAAACAGTAAACCACAGGACTACCCGTTTAGAATGTTCAGCAATAGGAACAGTACCGGAACATGGAGTATTTGATAGTTGACAGGTGTCTCTGGGTTGGTAGCGGAAAGACAGCACCCTGCGCTAATGGCACAGATATAGGGAGAGATGACCACAGTGGCCAAGAGACAGAGATGGAATGGAAGGTCTGATGAGTTCCAGCAGGGAATGTGTGATATAGCTGCAAGGCAAGAGGAAGCCAGCACTAATGATATAGAGGAGAAGAGTTCCTGCATATGCAGAAGCCCAGGAGCCAGAGCACAACCCTGTTTCCTATCAGCTCACCAAGGCAGTGATGATGGTCAGCGAGCCTAGGATCAGGGTGTCCAATTCACCAAGTGGAGGAATCACCTGTCCACTTCTATTCATTGGTGTGAGTTCTGTCCTTCAGGCTAGTATGGTTGGATTCATGCTAGGAAAGCTCCACTGGTGCCTGGGGAACACAAGCTAGACTTGACTGTTGACCGTGTGCTCACTGTTTCATCCTGCTCTGTGGTCATTGCTATCTCTGTGTTCCAGAGGTGGGTTGCAGAGGTTTGTGGAGATTGAATAAATTAACAGAGGTTAGAGATTTCTGAGACCTGGATTTAAACCCACTTCTCACTGACCCTAAAGCCTGAGCTCTCTGAACTGCCTCAGACTGTCATGGAAATAGTCTATTGTCTAATCATACCCTTAAATCCACCACTCACTGTCTACAGGATATATCATGTCAATGGAAATAAACAATCTCTGTAGAAATCATTGAAATTATTCATTCTAAGCATGAATGTGAGTGACCAAGGCCCAGAAACAATCTTTGGTAGTCTTGAGAAAGGACTTTGGGGTGTTTAGATGCAGTGATTCTTTTATTCAGTTCTGAGAACAGAACACACAAACAAAATTATAAATCAACATATAGAACTGTTACATTGATCTGACCCAGATAGGTTGGACACCTGGAAGTTGGGGCTTACAGGTTACAGAAATTCTTAGTTTAGTTATATGTTAAAAGCACGAGTCTTTGTCTCCAAAAGACTCAGATTCAACAGAAAAGAATGCCTGAGTTTAACTTTACACACATAAAAAGTCGTTACTATATATCATGTTGTGCCATGCCAGGGTCAGGATGTAGGGAGCATCCCACAATTGCTAATACTGGTAACAGAGAGGCTCAGTAAGATGCTAGATAGCCCTGTGAGTGCCTATATAGGAGGCACCAGCAAATGACAGACAAGACACCTGAGGAGATATTTACCAGCGTTTGCCTGATTCCAGCCATGAGAAAGAATTGGGAAGGACAGGTGAAGAAATGGAAAGACATGCATGAGAAATTCTCAAAGAGGGCATGTGAGAGGAAAACCACTGGAAGACAGTTGACCTCAGACCTTAAATATCTTTAATACTGATTGATCCAGTCATGGAACTCAGTTTCATGTTTGCAATGTTAAAAATGGTGAAACTGGGGGACGACAGGTGGCATGATGGTTAAGGCGCTGGACAGTCCCTCAAGGCTGACCACAGTTTGAGTCTCAAATCTTGTGTCTTGATTTATCACTTTCCACTCTCTCTCTGTCTTCTCTGGTCAAATTTAAATAACTGAATGAATAAATAAAAATAAATAATTACAAAAAAAAACCAGAGAAACAAGTAATTTTCAAGATAGTTAATCAAATATGGTAAATGAAGATTTAGCATAGGTATCAGTTTTTAAAAATTCAGCAGTTTATGTCCATTCATTAAGTCATTTATTCAATAAACATTTATTGAGCTAGAGAAATATTCTAAGGCCTGACAAAATGAAAGAAGATTTCTCTTTGGAGCAAGATTGTAATTTAATTATTTTCATTTTATAGAGACACTGAAATTGAATGAAAGAGACACACACAAAAAACTTATGCAAAGGTTTTTAGTCCATTTTTTAAGTTCCTATCAAGTAAATTCATCGAAGAAATTTAGATGTTTCCTGTGCTGATTTCAACCTTCTGCTGAAGGTGGACTCTTCAAAAGCTGAAATAGTCCTGGACAAAGCTGTGAAAAAGAGTTGGAGAAGCTTACATGGAGATGGGTTGAAGTCCCCGAGTAAGGCTGTTCCACATAGCCTGCAATCAGATTTAACAGGCACTGTCTCAGGTAATCCTAAAAAGAACTATTTTTTGTCTTAACCAGATTGAGCTCATGAACCCCAAGCTCAAAGAAGCTAAGAAAATTTTCTAAACTGATGAGGCCAAAGTTGACTTCCAAAGTCACATGTATCTGACCAGTGCTGAGGCTCTTGGTCTCTATACCAGACTGCTTCTGGTCACCTCCAGGGTTTCCTGCT